TACACAGACCATAAAAGCCTTAAATATTTGTTCACTCAGAAGGAGTTGGATATGAGACAAAGGGGTGGCTCGAGCTAGTGAAAGACCATGATGTTGAGATTCTATATCATCTTGACAAGGCTAATGTGGTAGTTGATGCCTTGAGTAGGAAGACAGCCCAGACCTCTGTGTTGGTCACTCAACAGAGCAAGCTTCAAGATGAGACCCAAGAGCTGGGATTGATATAGTAGTTAAGAACATCCCCGCACAACTAGCTCAGTTGACAGTACAGTCCACACTTTGTAAACGCATCATTGATGCACAGTCTATATATGCGCAGCTCCAGAAAGTTTGTGACACCCAAGAGGCTGGGAGAGCTGAGGGGTTCTCAATTTCATCTGAAGACGGGCTTTTGTGGCAGGGACGCTTGTGTGTACCCAGGGATAAGGGAAACCTTAAGGAGATTATGTTTGAAGCACACGACACGTCCTACACATTTCACCCTGGTAGTACGAAAATGTATCAGGACCTTAAGAACAGTTAATGGTGGCTAGGAATGAAAAAGGGCATCGCAGACTTGCTGGGAAGTTGTCTAACATTTCAGCGGGTGAAAGCCCCGAGACAACGCCCTGCAGGGTTGCTGCAACCCTTAAACATACCCTAGTGGAAGTGGGAGGAAATGAGTATGGATTTCATATCCGATCTACCTAAGACTCGACGTGGTTTTGGTGAGATCTGAGTCATTGTTTATAGACCTGCAAAAATAGCTCATTTCATCCCGGGTAAGAGCACATTTTGAGTGGATCAATGGGCTCAGTTGTACGTCCGAGAAATAGTCCGGTTGCATGGGGTGCCTACTTCCATTGTGTTTGATCGCGATGCTGGGCTTACCTCTCATCTTTTTTAAAGGGTTTACAAAAAGCCTTGGGTACCCAACTGTTAGGTTATGAAGCCTACTGCTTATTTATAGCTTGGTCAACGGTTATATCCGATAAAGCTATATTTGATAAAGCTATATCCGGTCGGTAAAGCTATATATGGTAAATAGCTATATATAGTAGATGGTTAAATCTGGTAAAGCTATATATGGTAAATAGCTATATATAGTAGATAGTTAAATCTGGTAAAGCTATATATAGTAAATAGCTATATATAGTAGATGGTTAAATCTGGTAAAGCTATATATATATCTCGTCCGGTAGAGCTTTGAAAATGTACTTTCTATTCTCTATAATTCTCTCTTACTGTACATACGTGAAGTCATCAATAGAAAAATTCTTTTAGCCAGAGTTCTCCTTGCACTTTTCTCTATCCTGTTCTTTGTGTTCATCTAGATCGAGCGTGTGCGTTGTTGTGCGATCCTAACAACTGGTATCAGAGCCAGACGAAATTCACCACGATCTGTGAAGATGGAAAGTTCAAAGATTGGAATTGAGAAGTTTGATGGATCCGATTTCGGTTCCTGGAAGATGTAGATTGAAGATTATCTGTACCAGAAAGATCTTCACGAACTTCTGTTGGGGGTGAAGCCGGATACCATGACCACGGAACAGTGGAAGCTAAAGGATCGACAAGCCTTGGGGCTGATCCGGTTGACGCTATCCAGAAACGTGGCATTTAACATTATCAAGGAGAAGACAACGTCAGATCTATTGAAGGCGCTGACAAATATGTATGAAAAACCGTCGGCTATGAACAAGGTGTATTTGATGCGGAGATTGTTCAATCTACAGATGTCTGAAAGTGGATCTATTGCTGATCATATAAATGAATTCAATATGATCCTAAGTCAACTGAGTTCGGTGGAAATTAATTTCGAAGATGAAATTAAAGCGTTGATTTTGATGTCATCCTTACCCGAGTCATGGGATACTGTTGTTGTCGCAATCAGGAGTTCTTGAGGATCTGATAAACTGAAGTTTGATGAAATTCGAGATGTAGTTCTCAGCGAAAGTACTCGCAAACGAGAAACTAGAGATTCATCAGGCAATGCTCTCAGTGTCGATCGAAGGGAAAGAAGTAAATCAAAGAGCTCAAACAAACATGGGGGATCAAAATCAAAGAACCGAGAAAAAGCTCCAAATAGACCAAATGTAACGTGTTGGAATTGTGGAGAAAAAGGTCACTTTCGGAAAGGTTGTACAAGACCAAAGAAGAAGCAGAATCACAAATCTGAAGATGATAATGATTCTATAAATTCAGCAGAAGATATTGGGGATGCTCTAATCCACAGCGTGGACAGTTTGATTGAATCCTGGATTTTGGATTCAGATGCATCTTTTCATTCGTCTCCAAATAAAGAGTTGTTCTGGAATTTCAAGTCTGGAAATCTCGAGAAGGTGTATCTTGCCGACAACAAAGATTTGGAGATTAAAGAAAAAGGAGATGTCTGCATAAAAACTCCGGCAGGAAATCAGCGGACATTAAAGAATGTCAGATATATTCCTGGTCTCAAAAAGAACCTGATCTCTATTGGTCAGTTGGACAGCACAGGTTATGCAACAAAGTTAGGGAAGAGTTCGTGGAAGATTATGAAGGGTGCTACGGTAGTGGCACGTGGCTCAAAATCTGGAACCTTATACACCACTACAGGGTGTATGAACATAGCTGTTGTTACTGAGAGTGCTTCAAATTCAAGTCTATGGCACAATAGACTTGGACATATGAGCGTGAAAGGAATGAAGACGATGGCCGCGAAAGGAGTTTTAGAAGGTTTGAAATCTGTTGATGTGGGTCGTTGTGAGAACTACGTTATGGGCAAGCAGAAACTAGTTAGCTTCACGAGGACTGCCAAAGAATTGAAGAAAGTGTGGTTGGAAATGGAACCATATGTGGAGCTAGGTTCGACGAAGCAAGTGGGAGTTGAGCTTGAGTTGTAAGAAAACTCACCTAGTGATGTTGTAGTAGATACTCATGAAACTTCTGAGACTACTGCTGAGAAACCAGATGTGGAGCATGGTTCCAAGACAATGAAGCAAGTGGGAGTTGAGCTTGAGTTGCAAGAAAACTCACCTAGTGATGTTGTAGCAGATACTCATGAAACTCTTGAGACTACTATTGAGGAACCAGATGTAAGAGCAAGGTTCCAAGACCACGAAGCAAGTGGGAGTTGAGCTTGAGTTGCAAGAAAACTCACCTATTGATATTGTAGCAGATACTCATGAAACTCCTAAGACTACTGCAGAGGAATTAGTAGTGGAGCAAGTGACACCTGAACCGGTGTTGAGAAGATCATCCAGTACTATCAGAGTACCAGATATGTATGTACCTTCATTACACTATCTGTTGCTGATGAAAGGGAACTACAACCCTTTGAGGAGGCCCACAGTTGGAGGATATAACGAAGTGGGAGCAAGCCATGGATGATGGGACGTCTAGGCTTCATGTACTAAGGCTGAGTACATGGCAATAGCTGAAGCTGGAAAGAAGACGATATGGATGATTGACTATCTGGAAGAATTGGGCAAGAAGCAGCATGAAAAGATTCTTTATAGAGATGGTCAGAGTGTCATACAGTTGGTGAGAAACCCGGTCTATTATTTAAAGATAAAACACGGAAGGCGATACCATTTCACTTGCAGGTTAGTGGAAGATGGTGATGTGTTTTGAGAAGATAGAGGGTGTGAAGAATCCAGCAAACATGTTGACAAAATGTGTTGATGTTGGAATATTGAGGTTGTGCAAAATCTTAATTGGTATGGTGCAGCGAAGATATTCATGATCGTTTGAGAATGAAATTCTTGGTTGACTGGATCAGTCTCCAAGTGGGAGAATTGTTAGGTTATGGAGCCTACTCTCTTATTTATAGCTTAGTCAACGGTTATATTTGGTAAAGCTATATCCGGTAAAGTTATATATGGTAAATAGCTATATATAGTAGATGGTTAAATCTGGTAAAACTATATACAATAAACTGAACCATATATATATCCCGTTCGGTAGAGCTTTGAAAAAGTACTTTCTGTATTCGCTGTATTCTCTCTTACAATACATACTTGAAGTCATCAATATAAATCCTTTAGCCAGAACTCTCCTTGCACTTTCTCTATCTTGTTCTTTGTGTTCATCTAGATCGAGTGTGTGCGTTGTTGTGCGATCCTAACAAGTGTTTGGGAAGAGGTCGAAATCCAACAACTTATGGGACCGAAATTAGTTCAGGTCACAAATGGGGCAGTCCAAAAAATCAGATCATGGATACTTACTACACAAAGCTGGCAAAAGAGTTATGCTGACACTCGAAGAAAGGATCTCGAGTTTGTGGTAGGCGAACATGTTTTCTTGAAGGTAGCGCCCATGAGGGATTTTAAGGTTTGGGAAAAGGGTAACTTTAACCCTAGGTTCATATGTCCCTTTGAAATCCTTGAGAGGATTGGCGTTGCGGCGTATAAGTTGGCATTGCCACCCACTCACCATTTTACAGAACATCTTTTTTTTATGTATCCATGTTGAGAAAATAAACACCGAACCCCACACACATCATTGAGCACGAAGCACTTCTGCTTCGCAAGGATCTATCATACGAAGAGGCCTCAATCCAAATTATAGCTCAAGATGTCAGGTGATCGCGAAACAAGGAGTTTCCCGTTGTCAAAATCTTTTAGGATAACCATCTGGATAGCGAGGCTACTTGAGAACGTGAGGATGACGTTAGGAAGTCTTACCCTAAACTTTTTCAAGAACAACCAACTTTTGATGACCAATGTTTCTAAAGAGGAGAGAATTTGTAACACCCGAGCCCCGATGAGAAACTTAAAACCTAAGCTTTTCCTTTAAGTTGAACTTCTGAGAATTTATTGAGGATCTCAGAGACCCAACTTTGAAACAAGGTAGAAGAGAAAAATGGTTAGAAAAATCTCATCAACTCAAGAAAAATATAAAAAGAAAAATGGTCAAACTCAACCCGAGAGGCTTAATTTGGTCATCCTGTCGTCTTCCTCGTTAAGAACCTAAAATATAGGTTAGTAAAAGATAAATAAAATAAAGTAAATAGAAATGGAAAGGAAAGAGAGGAAAAGAAAAAAAGAAAATAAAATAGAAAGGGAAAGAAGGTACTAGAGAGAAGGAGAAGTAACAACCACATTCCGATCCGGCCACAAGGAGTCTGATTCCAGCCGAGATTTCTTCAAAAATCCTTCACAAAACCTATAGAAAGCATTCTATACCATTGAATCGTCCAAAACCGTCAAAGAACGAAGAAAATCCATAGGTAAGTTCTTGACCTTTTGCTTTCGAATTTTACTCAGATCTATGAGAAATATGAGGATTTATATTCTAAAATTTGAGTATGTTAATCTAGAGAGGATTTCACTCATAATCCGTGAAGGAAGTCTTGATCAATTCAGATCGAAAATAGGAGTTCCAGCAGTCACCAAATTGATGTGAGTATTGATATTTCTTACCAACTTTGGACTAAGTTAATTATGTCTTGGTTAAAAATAAGTTATAAGAAAAATACCTCGTGATTGGATATAAACTCTATAAATCTCGTGAAGGAATCGTATTAATCCGAGTTAAGTAAGAAGAAATAGAAAAATTTAAAGAAAATAGAAAATAATCGATTTTCTGAAAAATCGCAGAGATGAAAGGAAGAAGATGAACGATAGAGGGACGTGTGTCAAGCAAGGAGAGAGTCACGCGTCGCTGGAAGGTGGGACACGTGTCAAGTGTGTAATGGCGGAGGAAACTAACGGAAAAATCTTGCATTGGGTAGGATTTGAAGGCTCGCGCCCGCAACTAAACTCGTGAACCCACGTGTCGACCGACCCAAACCCGTCTCCGCATTCGCCACGCGTTAGCATGAGAAAAATCGTAGGAATCCACGCACGTCCAAATTCAAACGCATGCCCTGACTCTCAGTGGACCAATCAGCCCTCGCCATGTGGGGACACCTCATCGCACAACTCCATCCCCTCTCTGTGCGCGTGGGAGACCCCTCCGGTGCGTGGGGTGCGTGAACCAATGCGTGAGGCCCCTTTTTATCCCGATTTGACTTCTGTTTAACTATTTTTCGTCCCAGTTTTGATACTGACCTAAATTTATCTTGATTTAGGACCTATCAGTGAACATCCAAGAAATTTGGAGCTCACAATTAGCTAAAAAGTAAGTTTTGAAGAGAACGCTTCATTCCAGTAAGTAACCACATGGAATTAGAAAGTAATACATGTAGGGTGTGCTTGGTTTTGCATGCATGCTAGAAAAAATTACGCCGGGGTGTGGCTAAATCTAATGATCCTCTGTAGATATGAATTTAAATATATATATCTAATGGACTTGCTGCCTAAGTAAGATTTCATACTTGATGTTTGTATGCTTGCTGGAATATGTTACTACTACTTTTATCTGTTCATACTATGTTGGCGGACGGGAGAATTTGTGTATTTGTGCTCCGGGTGTTGATAGATGTTATCGCCCCACTGAGCTTGTATGATTGTATGCATTGTTGATCATACATAAACTCCTGTTGAATGATTGTGTGAACATATGATATGAATGATAAGCTGTAGTGTTGTGTTATGCCTAAGTTGTACTCTTGCGGTTTAGATAGGGGACCCACCTGATGTTACGGTCAGTGGTGACGTCAGGAATGCATAGAGGGAGAGACCCTTTAACCCTAGACTATTATGGACTTAGAAGTGTTGAATGAGTGAAATTGGAAGCCAGGCCCATAACTCAACAGCCTTAACTACCCTTGAGGCATAGAGAACCACGTTAGGACTCTGAGGTGTAGAGAGATGACCTCTTAGCCGACAATAGCTGGTATAGAGTTTGAGTATACTCCACTTCCCTACCTACTCTGGTGTGGAACTGTTGAGCTAGGCGAGACGCCAGTTAGAGAAGTGTTACTCTTCCCTTCCTACTCCGATGTAGTACTATTGAGCTAGGCGAGATGCCAATTAAGGTGTTACTCTTCCCTTCCTACTCCAGTGTGGTACTGTTGAGCTAGACAAGACGCCAATTAGGGAGATGTTACTCAGTGGTAGATCGACTACTCTGCATGGGGATCTGTCTATGGTAAGATGTTGATCACGCGGGGTGGGTCAAGGTCGCCTGCATGATGAGTCCGTCCTATGGAAAGACGTTGACCATAAGGTGACTAATTCCAACTGGGTTGTACGAGGAGTACATGTATTTATGAGGGAACACCTCTTTGCCTGCATGATGAGTCCGTCCTATGAAAGGACGTGACCATGCGGTCCTCAAACGTTGAATGTCACTTCAAAGGTTAAGTCCTTCTACCCCGAGTTGTGTACTAAGAGTTCTGAGACTCCAGGATCTAGAGCATAGTTGGTAGTTCTCTCCTAAGATTTGGATGCGATTAAGAACCTACAAGTAGGTTGCTTACTGAGTATATTTTTATACTCACCTCGCTTTCTTTCTTTTCTTTTCTTTTTTTCAGGTATCGGTCGAGGTGGGGAGGTGTTCGAAAGCTGCATTGTCATAGAGAGGTGTCGTTCCCGAACGTCAGTCCATTTTCACATTTGGAGTCTTTTGTATTTTCTTTCATAATTGTATTTTTAGTTTGTAATATTTGATTTTAATTTTGTATTTAGTTTTGGTGTGGTTGACTCCTTTTTCTTGTTTTAAATTTTATTGGATTTCAATCTTCCATTTTATCTTCTTTTTAATTTTATTTGTTTTTTAGTCTCAATTCGGTTTTCGAAGCCTTGAAAATTGGGTCATGAGAGATTGGTATCAGCAGCCAGGTTTTAGATTTTGTAGACTTTTTTCTAGGATAGAGAGTCGTACACCTCTGTGACTCAGCTTGACGACATGCCTCGTCGCGACCAGGTATGCAGTCTAACCCTTTTTAGTAGGTTTTGATATGATGTAAAGCATTTGAACTTGATGTTTGTCTTCGGCTACGTGGTAGCTATAATTATGCCTTAAGGTGATAAATAATGAATGTTCACTCTATACGTCGATACTATATTCGAGTTATTATGAGGAGGCCAAGAGGGATCATGTTATAGGTTACTAGCCTTAGGAAGACAGAGAGGTGACGCCGCAGAGTGCGAGACGTCCAAAAATGTACATGAGACTTTCTAAGGCCTAGTATGAGGTGAATTACCTAGGACCTAGCCTCCTGTGACCATAATTCTAGAGGTCAAGCATGCTTCCATGGAGAGCACGTAGTACGCCTAGACAATATAGAGTATGCCTTGGAGCAAACCACATAGTAGACCCAGACAATATTGTTCTTACAAGCAAGGGTGGCCACTGTAGGAATTAAGTACCCCTCAAACAATTTATTTTCACAAGTGAGTTTGGTTTAGTTGGAAGTCAAAAAATAAGATCCATCAAGATTGAGAGTGAAGCTATGGAGGTCATGGCTTCAAGTTTGGTTTGAATCTTCACGAGCTAAGTGTCAGTTATGGACTTCCGAAAACATGATGTGCGCTTTATGCCACTAATGAGATATGGGGTGGATATTCCTATTGATGGATCACCTAATAGATAACAAATAGCTTTGGACCTTGGTGGAGAGGAACAAATCCAAAAGCAGCACGTGGTTATCAGGACCATAAAATCGTGTTCTAACCTCTCCTTTGGTCAGGGCATGCATGCTCACAAGGTGGAGGACGTGGAACTTTCAAGGTAGTCCAGTGAACCCCATGATCGAGAAAAACAGGAAAAAAGAGGCCAAGCTATGGTCATGCCTTCGCCGTCTAGATGGAGAATGTTCAAATAGGCGTTGTAAGAACCAACCCTTGTTTAGGATATCTTGATTACAAAGAGTAGAACTCTAGTTTCACACACGAGTGTAATGCCATACTTGTGAAGCATTCTCTAGTAGAGGTAGAACTTTCAAATCATTAAACGCGGGATTAGAGAACTCATAAGTATGTAACTAGCCATTGTCATTTCCAACCCAAGGTAAAAGAGAACTCAAATCAACTCGAAAAGCTTGGATTCTACCGTGCCCATACTGGGAGAAAATCAAGGTCTTGTAGTTTTATTCACACACAAACAAAGCAAGCCTTCACCTACAATACATGCTTGGCTTGGCTCATCGAGCCTTTGAGAAACCCTAGACACATCTGATTATGTCGTTAAAGGTTACCAAAAATTCACTACAACACTTCAATGAGAGATAGTGCACTTATACTTACAATTGTACTACAAGTTATAGGTTACATCAATAAGCAAGATTTTAAATAAAGTTATCACAATATTGGAAGAGTCAAAATGAAATAGCATAATACATGGCATAAAAGCTTCAAAAGAAAAACCTTCCCACGTGAGCATACTTATAAGACTTATACCATCTACAATGAAATAGAACCGGCAAAAGAAGTTCCTTCTGGCTTGTCTCGTACATAAAAGCATAAACAACACCAATGCTATCTTTGCCCAAACAATATTGCATAAAAGCATGTGATTTATTAAAAATCAATTTTTGGTCATTGCCATGCACGGACGAAAGGAGCTACTTGTTCACTATATAAAGTATCCTCCTCCCCTCGGACAAAGAAGGAGTTGCTTGTTCACTTCAAGTGTTAAAGAAAATGGCAGCAATTATGATGATGCTCCCACGTTTCCTCCCTTCATCAACGACAATTTGTATACTGAATTGCAAGTTATCATTAGCTCGAGCCAAGGCTTGTCCATAAAAAAAAACTTCAATCTTTTTTTTATTTTTTATTATTATTATTATTATTATTTGTGCTGATTCATGTTTTATACATGTTGCACTTGCTACAATTGAATTGGCTCATAATGATTATGAAAGGAGAACCAATTAATCTTAATCTCTTTCAACTCTTCATGAGATTTTTGCTACGAGTTTTTCTTTTATGTTGGCAACCCGAAAATGGTGTTTGAATATGCTTTTCATACGCCAATATATAGTGTAAAAATTTTCACTAAAAAAAGCAAGAGAAGTATTTAGTTCATTTAAATTTATTTTTATCATTATGTACTTGAATTGATCCATGTATAATGTAGAGTGAGCAGTTTGTTTGTGTCTTCCTTGCTACTAATGTGATTTCAAATAAGATGAAGAACTAGCTCTAATTAGAGCTACAAGTGAGTAGTCTGTTTGTGTCTTCCTTGTAATATTAATCCATTTTTTTTATTTTTAAATTTTAGAATGTTATTTTTCATGCATGTAGGGGTAAAGGATTTATGAAACTATCGAAAGAGTCATTAAATATTATGGGATTTACTGTAGTTTTACATTGTGATCTATAGCGTTGGGAACCATTATTATCAAACCAAATCTAGCACATGTTAACTCAACCACATATATTACAATGAAGTTTTGAAAGACCAAAGAGTAGTACCACAACTACAGAGTACCTTTCAATACAAGGCAGTAGAGCACTCAAACAATTTCAAGTTTTTTATCATGTAATCGTTAGACAGACTTTGAGTAACATATGTCTCTGCTGTATGAGCAACATACCTCCTTTTTTTTCTACCTATTAGGAGTATACACTCAACGCAGAAATCCGAGAACCCAACCCGATCCAACCCAAAATATAAGGATTGGGTTGGGTTGTGTTGGATTTTGGATTTGGGTTAGATCCATTTTTTTTAATCCGATTTGATTTGGGTTGGGTTCGAGTTCCAAAAGAAATTGATTAGGTTAACCCAACTCAATTCGAAAATATTGAAAAAAAAAATTTGAAGTCACCCCCAATTTTACTCTAAGATCATCCATCAAATTCTGAAAGAAGAACATCCCAATTCATAGGAATAAGAAATCTCTGAATCTTTTTTAAGATCTCTTATACTCCAATCGTAAGAGTTTAACCGAAGGGCCAAAATCAAAATCCAATAACCCAAGCTGAAACTTTTTAACAAAACTCAATAATTAATTAAAATGGTGTAAACAATTTTAAAATAACAAATCTCTCTCAACTTCAATTACTTAAATAGGACAAAAAAGCCTCATTTCCTAGTCAGCCCAACATTTCTCTGCCTCAGCCTCTCTCTCTCCTGTCTGCTCTCTCTCTCTCCTCTCAGCTTCTTCTGTCTCAGCCTAAGTTAAAATACAAACTTTTGTCTTTCTCTCTCACACCCTCATTCTCTCTTTCAGCCTCTTCTTTCTTCGCTTCACCCGAAAATACAAACCTTCAGCTAAAATATAAATTTCTACTTTGACACGTAGTCTCTCAGGAAGAATTTGATCTCAATAGCATTCTTTCGCGTTTTTTGTCTTGTTTCTATCTCGCGCGCCGTCTTTCTCTCTTTAGTCTCCTAGAACGCCATAACGGGTAAGGTTT